ATATATATATATATATATCTGTGTGTGTGTGTGTGTGTGTGTGTGTGTGTGTGTGTGTGTGCGTGTGTGTGTGTGTGTGTGTGTGTGTGTGTGTGTGTGTGTGTGTGTGTGTGTGTGTGACAATTGCTATTTCACGCAATTTATTTCTATTTTTAATTTTTATGTTTTCTGATTTGTTTTATGTCGAATATGGAAAAAGAAAAAAATATATATACAGAGAAAATTAGTGTGCCAAGACAGATGATTTCTACTGCCAGCACACCCCCAAAAATCAAGTAGGAGCACCAAGGCCCAAACAAAGCACACAATTCCGGCCCAACCACCTTTACAAAGGATGGCGCCCGCCATATAGTCCATGGCAACCGCCATGGGATCTGGACTATATGCGGGGCAGAAGTTGAGAAACCACCATTTTTGCATCCAAACCCTCCAAAACTCCATTTTTGGCTGCACGAAAATTCTCCCCAAAGCACCAAAAGTTCATACTTTCATCTTCCACCCACCAACCCATTAACCATTCCAACTTCCATTTTCACTCTCCCTCACCAAAATCCATCAAAAACCCATTTTTACAAAACTCAAAAAAATACCCATTTTCCATCATCTTCAACCTCAAGAGTTCATCCATGGAGTACGAAGGTTACATCTTGTGCCAAGGGAAGCCCGAAGAAAGACAACAAAAAATTCTCGATAAACTGCAAAGTCGGGACATCGCTTCGACACGGTACGTGGATGATAACTGTCTCTATACTTTGGGTATTTACCATAGTGTTTATCACTTGTTAGATATTCTAGGACTGCATGAAATATTTGCCAGGCGTGATCCTACTTTTGAGAGGCTGACCACAGAATTCTTGAGTTCCCTGATTTATGTTGTCAGACCCGACACTGCTAGTACTGTTGGTACCATACAGTTCCGAATGTTTAATGTGGAGTACGCCTTTAGTACCAATGAACTCGTAGAGAGGCTAGGACTGCCTTTTGGTGCAGGTGCTATTTGTGAAGCACCTCTGGATTCTGAATGGTTTGTGGAGGCATTTTCCTTCTGACACAGGTTGTCAAATTTCACTATTTCATCGTTCGAAGGGATACTTGCCTCCAAGATCCATAACCCGGCCATCCGTGTGTTTCGTTACATGCTAGCCTGTACTGTCTTTGGCCGGGAGAATCCTAACAAGGTAAATGCAAAAGAGTTACTATTCTTGTAGGGGTACCTTACAAATAGGAGATTTAATGTGGTTTCGTTCATGATTGCCCATATGAATGCCTCTATTAAGAGAACTGGGACCATTTCCTTCAGAGGACTTATTACGCCCATTGCAAAGGCTCTGAACCTAGATGCTGAGATAGCCACTTTAGAACCTCTTCCTTCTCGCACAATTAATTTGAAAATTTTAAAAGATATGAAACTGTGCAAGGTCAGGAAGGAAGGGGGATTCGAGCTTATGATACACAGGAGGGCTATCCCATCTATGGTTCTGCCTTGCACTAGACGCATGGATGTGACTATCGAGGGGAACTGAACCTATGATTTAGATGCTCCACCCATTACAAGACCAGTACCCCCAAATATTCCTGTAGGTGACGACGATGATACTGATGACGAGTATGACCGACGAGAGTGATCTCCCGATCATCCTATGCCGCCTCACCGTGTACCACAGATACACACTGCACCGTCTTCCTCTTACCATTCTGCAGGTACCGCTCCCGACTTCTATATATCTGAGCAGATGTGGCGAGAATAATTAGCTAAAGAGGAGAGACGCGACAACTTTCTCACCACCATTCAACAACAACTAACTGAGAATATGAGATTCATGCAAGAGTCTCAGCAGCAGTTGAGTCAGTCCATGCAAAGCATTATGCAATCTTAAGTTGCTCTGACGACCCGATTCGACGCGTTCGATGCCTCTCAGATCGACCATCATCGTAGAAGATCCTTCCGCCCTAGGTACTCGCCGCACGCTGGCGACAACACTAGCAGCATGCCTTAGGCCACTTCAGGTACCTCGTCCCTTACTTATTTTGAAACATTAGGGACAATGTTCAATTTAAGAGTGGGAGGAGCCTTTATTTATTTTCCCGCTTTATCTCGCACTTTTTATTTTATTTTCTGTCATCGCATTTTAGTTCCTTTCCCTTCATATTTTTCTTCTTTTTTTCTAGAATATACTCGTGCTTAACGAGTCACACCGCGGTATAATCTTATTCTTTCATTACTTTGCCCCACCAAAAATTTTACTGACAAATAGTGTACTATCCTGAAAATTTCTTGGGCTTTGAGGCAAGTTCGAGTTAGGATGCGAATGATTTGGAAAATTCTCTTTGAAACATTGGTACCATTATAACACCTTAGGCTTCGCAAATGTAGAAATCAACCCTGATACCCTACGTACCATGGCCTTAATAGAATGTCCATAGTGAGTCCTCAGTAGTTTATCCTAGCAATCATCTCTGGCCAAAAACACTATCTAAGTGAAGGATCGATGAAAATAAGTGAATGATCGGTATGCTAAAATAAAATAATTACAACTCGGGTATAGGTAACCCTCACAAGGTCATTTAACCCAAAAAGTTGTAATTTCGAAAAAAGAAAAAAAAATGATAAAAACAAAACAAAACAAAAATATCTTCCCATTGTCAATTGGTTCAGAGGTATCTAGTACTGAACTCGGTAGGGCGGATTACGATCTGATCCCCAACAGCTGCAAGTGGGCCAATAAAAGGGGTTACATCACTTTGTCTACCAGAACCCCATGCTTAAGATCATAAACACTAATCGATCACTTCACCATGATTTCGTACGTATAACGAGATTAATGTGATTGCACCAGAATGAAAAGGACTCAAAAGGAGATTGAAAGTAGACCTAGGTACAATAGGGCAGTATGGATTGATTTGTGTAAAAACGAAGCTTATGTCCGTATTTACGGAAAAGTGTCATTCTGATACTTGTGGTTCCCTGAGTCATCACCTATAACTTCATCCTAGCTTGAACTTATAAGACCTTTTTGCCTAGATCATCTAGGGATATCATCCTGTTTTCTGTCATGATGTTTTGCTTGAGGACAAGCAAAGGTTTTAGTGTGGGAGAATTTGATAGACCTAAAATATATTATTTTCTTGGCTCGATTTGCACACGTTATTTAGGATTTTATTTTTGTTTTCTTGTATTATGCCTTTGTTTTGTTTCTTTTTCAGGTTTTTGTATTTTCAAGGCTACTCGAGAAGAAATGAAGGAAAAACGAGCTAAAAACCTACTTTCTGAGGAATTGTACACATGGCTTCCACCATGGCGGGCGCCATAGGGGATGCCACACATTGGATAGAAGCCAACTGCTGAAAACTGCCACGTCTCCCACTCCTTTCCACCCTAGTTCATGTGTCGGGCGCCACAAGGGGGTGGCGGGCACCACCTTCACATGCTCATTTCCCTCCCAAAAGGAGTTGGGGGGCATACTTGTCCTTACCTATACTTTTCTACCACTATAAATAGAGGAGTTCTATTTAATTTCTAATCATCCAAGCTTAGTTACAAAACTCAAACCATAAATTTCATCTATTGTAAAGTGATAAACTTCTCACATCGAGGGGTTATCACACTGTCTAATCGAGTCTGTAATCGGGTTTGGAGCACTTGGGTAGAAGTTAATCCTGCCGCCATTTTATTGCAGTCTTTTTACTTCCAGTTGTACAAGATTTTAAAGCCTCTCGTTTATAGCAGGTTTCTGTCTATTTATCGCCTTTTATTTATTTATCCGCGGTTTATTTCCCGCACCGCTTTTATTTCTTGCACCGCACTTTATTTATTTACCCGCACTTTATTTACTCGCGCTTATTTACCATGTCTATTTACTTTACCATGTCCGGTTAAATCTTAAAGGCTAGGATGCAAGGATTGTAGTTATAATAGTATTCCATACGACTGTCGATAAAATTATTTAGGGGTTATTTTAACTTTTAACACTTATTTTCTATACTTAAAATCTGTTGGGTAAGATTGAAAGCCGTCCAACCTTTAGATAAATTTGGTTAGTTTTAACTGTTCCTAGGAAGCGAAAGCGCTTGACTCAGTTAATTAGGAATCTTTAATGTTTAAGAAAACCGATTTTAAAACTGTTTTCGGACGCGTTTATGGATTTAAAGTCCGGTTCGTAAGAACCTCTTTTTGTTAGAAATTCCAGGTCAAAATACTTTTCAACTAAGTTAAGAAACTATATTTCTTAAAAATAGTTTTATTAATCCTAACGCAATACGCGCCTTTTTATAAGTGACACTAAGAGGTATCGATTAGGGATAAACTTGGTTCTGATTACGCGAAAGCAACAATTCCCGTTAAATTAGTCCTTTTCATGAGTAGAAAACATTACCCCATAAGGAATCCTATCTGTACACATTTGGAATACTACGTAGCTATATGAATTGCATCTATGCCTATTGTTTTATTATTGAATTTATTTCTGCACTTTAATTTTGTTTCGCACAATTCAACCTTTTATTTGACTTGCCTTAGATAAACACTGTAACACTAGCGAACGATAGGTTGACCTTTGGTCTCTGTGGGATCGATAATCTTTTATATTACTTTGGCGCTATTCGTGCACTTGCGAATCGCCCATCATAATTTCTCTATTTTTAATTGATATGAGACTTAACTACTCATAATTAAATTCAACAACTTTAAAAACAACAATTAAATTGAAATATGTTTTTATACAAATACAACAAATAAAGAGAGACCATGGCACTTTTTTTTTAAAGTGACATTTTACAAAAGAATTAATACAATTATTTTTGTAAATGGATGACATTTAGATTGATTTTTCTAAGTTTATTATAAATGCTTATCATATGCTGAATAAGAGATGAAAATAAAGCATTTTGATTAAGATAAAAAACAAAATGCTTTAATCTCAATCCTAGAAAAATTTTCTTAGAAGAATAGAGAACCCTCAAAGGTAAATCTATGATTAGAAAATTTTGTAATGATATTTGATTCATGGTTTCCGAGCCCCCTCTATCTGGTTAGGGTGATAGTGATACATCTCAATTTTGCGGCCATTCAGTTGCTGAAGTGGCCTTGCATTGTAGAAAAAATCCTCACTCAATGGTGCCTTTAAAAGTTCAAGTTGTTTCTTGGATATTGTTCTCACCTACATAATGTAGAAGTATTTAAAATCTATATAACCATTGTACGATATATCAGCATGTAGAATCATTTAGTTCAAAAAGAAAAATTTTACATCTATAAATTTAACGATTCTACACGCTGGCAAATACTGCGACCATAAATGACCCGTAGAGGGAATGAAGAGTGTATATTAAGTTAATTATTACCTTTCCAATGATGTTCCAAATGACACCTTCTGTGCATGGTGGAGTAGTAAGAGATCCAACATATCTATAATATCTATGGATCTTTTTATTTAATTCTTCTACATCAAATGTGCCTAGGGAAATTTTGGCATTTTTGTTTCCTGCACGACTTTGAGTTTTTAGCTCATTCAACTTGTCTTCTATCTACAAGTAACATTAGGAATTATGAATGATATAAATTCTTCTATTTTATAGTATGAGTCACATAATAATATTGTGAACATGAGTTGAATAAATGTACCTTAGAGATTAGAGGATCAGGATCACCCAAATTATAGAGTATTGCTAAAACTGCTATGTTGTTGTTATCTTCTGTGAGGTGAACTAAGTGGAGCTCTACAACATGTCTGTATTCAAAATATTTTTTATTATTAATTGACTATTTTCAAGTTGTTACTTTTAATTATAGACGTGTCTTATGTTTTTAAAAATCTATGATTTAACTATAACAAAATAACTTAAAGTCCTATTTAATGATGGTTTAATCGAACAAATATATCATAAAACTCTATTTAACTATAACTTAACCATAAAAATATTTGAAGTTCTGTGTTGTGATCTATCATTCGCAGTCTTAAATACGAGTCTTATTTAGTTTCAACGTGCAAGCATTCACGAGATTGCATGCAAAATTGAAAAAAATCAAAATAAAGAAAGACAATATTTTTTTATTAAATTAAAGTTGATTTCAGAGCTAGTTTTGAAAAATGATCCGATATAATCGATCAAAAGTTATATGTATATTTAATTAATGATGTAATTAGTGTCTTTTCCTCTGGATCTTCATGCACAACATAATCCAAAAGACATAAACTAGAGGTGTGGGTCAGAATAGAACAGAACACATGGATTACATTCCATGATTAGTATATGTATTAAATTATAAGCTTAAATAAATTAAATCATTTTTGTGTAATAGATTTTGTTGTCGTTGAATATCATTATTTTTTCATAGGCAAATTTATATTGCCCCCTCTTTATGACTCTACCATCGGCCAAACATATTTTTAACCTTTTGAAGTTTGATTATAAGATAATTAATGTTGACAAAAAAACAAAAGACCTAGAAGACCTAAAATCCTTAAAAAGAACTTACATACGACCATGAGCTCGGTGCTCTGCAGGAGCATGCCAGTGAAGTTGTCTTAATGAATAATTTTTTCCATTAATATGAATATCTCCCACTTTTCCTTCAAAATGCACCTATAAATACCAAAGTGGAATATCATTGTCGCAAATTCGAATTTAAGCCTCTTGCTATTAGTTGAACTGATTTAACCAAACGAAAATGAAGAAAATAAATAAATAAATACATACCTCAATGTTGAATTGATTGTTAACAAGTGTTGCATTTGTAGGAATGTAGTTTCTATCTAATGATTCCAATTGGTTGTTGAGAACAATATCTGTGTAAACAAGATCCACAGGACTCTGAACTCTCCCATTTGAACATGCTGCATAAGCTGGACTCAAGCTTCCCCATTTCTCAGGACCATTTGGACCAATATAACTAAAATTAACAGAACCTGTCATAGAAAAACTCAATTATGAATCAAATATTCAAATTAAGTTATTATGAGAAATGCAAAAATGAAATTAATCTTACTGTATTCTGCTGAAATGCATAGAGCCAAAGCTGCAATAGAAAGGATTGAGAGGTGAAAATGTAAAGCCATTGGAATAGCTATGGTTGGTTTTATTCTCTCAACTTTATATCATGTCATGTAGGATATATATATATGTGGTGATGTTGAATGTATATGTAATATTACTATTCTGGACATTTTGGGATATGCTACACTTTGAATGATGATCATATTGTTGTCCTTTTCTATTTAGGAACATTATACCCTGCCGAGACCCTAAAAATACACTGCCAGATTCTGTTCTGACTCATGATATTGAAGTTTTTTTTTTTTTAATTTAATTTAATATTTAAAAAATTTATTTATAAATAATTATAGGTTATCGCTAAAAATTGAACATGCCAGCACCTTATATCAACACATTTATTTAATTAAACCAGTGTTACCTCATCTACCTATTTATAAAATCATTTTAAACACAACTTAATAAAATAAAATAAAAATAGATCATCTTAATTTGTACCTCTATCTCTTGTCCAAATTTCCATATGTGAAGAACTTAATTAAATTTAAAAATAAATATAAAATAGATTATGTTATATAGTGATAAGTATCCAAGGGACAAAACCAAATTGACACTTCATTAAAAAATTAATTATAATTGTACTTCTAATATTTTACTTTACTTACTGGATTTATATTTAAAACTAATGTATTATAATTGTTCTATACCAACGATAGTGACTCTAGCCGACTACTTTGAATGAATTACATTTTTTTTAGAATGTTTCTAGCACATGAAAACTCTCATTCTGATGATCACAAAGATCAAAACTGCATTCACATCTAACGACTCTTTGCACTTCACTCCTAACAAATAGCGAGTTTGCTCTTCCTTCTCTATTGTATATAGAGAAGGTGCTACATTCAGGTAACAAGTTTCAAACACAATTTGAATTTACTCTTCTTCCTCACATAACTTGAATGTTGGAGTACTAACCTTGCAAGCTAGCCCCCTCTCCACTGCGTCAAAAGCTCATATTCATCATATTTTCGATCCTTACTCCACTTCTGGTTCATGAACGAAATAATTGTGTCATATCTGGGAATCGAGTTCTAATTCTTGCATTCTACACAACTCCGTGGTCGCTCTTTAATTCACAAGTTTGTAACATTTTGTGGTCACCGAACCAAGAGCCTCCGAAATCAAACGTGAAGATTCATCGCATTCGATTTGATCAAACATTGTTCTGATTTCCTGAATTTCTATATATACAAATGGAAAACCGGACGACGAGGATTCAACCGAAGCATCCCCTGTGCACTTAATTTTGGAAAGCAACATACCAAAATCTATAGAGATGTCGCCCAAGCTAGAGGAGTACGATGGAAAGGGAGATCCTAACAAGCACGTACAACTCATTAATAAGCGGTTGAACTACTTCAGTGATGATGAAGCATATAAATGCAAGTTGTTTTCCCTGATCCTGGCTAGGTCGGCCAAACTATGGTTCAATGTTCTACCCGATGAAAGCATTAAGTAATGGACTAATTTCTATGAATGGTTCTCCATACATTTTACTGCTCAAAAGCGACGGTCGGTGACTGAAGCCGCTTTGAGAGAGATCGTTCAAGGGAGGAAAGTAAGCTTGCGGTATTATATTGACTATTTCATGCAAATCGACGTTGAGGTGGAAGGAGCCGAAGAAGGCCTAAAGTGTTGGATTATTGAGAACGGCCTTTGGTGCGACCATTCATTTAGGTTAAAGATCATAAGGAAGAAAGTGAAAAACACCCAGGATATGTCTATCATGGATCAGTCGTAAATGATCTTGGATGAGAATTCTAACACACGATTCGATAACCCAACCTCTGTTGACACCAATTCTAGCCGCCCAATGGGAAAAGATTCCCACCGCTGGAAAGACGAGTCTGATTGAAGTCTTTAGGGCTGGTACGACAAATACACTCCTCTGACTATCGATCGAGAAAAGATCTACCAAGATTGCGCCAACACAGAATTTTGGAATGGTCGAATCTCGGATCAACAAGTCGAAATATTGTCGATTTCATAAAGCTCACGACCATAACACCGACAAATGTATTTAGCTGAAAGACGTTTGATCAGTCACCATTTATGTTGTGTTTATCATCATTTTAACAATATAAGTATGTGATATATCTTCATTTTTCATATGATTTAAGTGGTTTAGTGGTTAGTTTATTTAATTTCTTAATTGTCTATGTTTTAATTATTGATGGTGTTTTTGGTTTGTTTGGGAAGGTTTCCATGTGTTTTGTAGGTTTGAAGAATAATAGAAAAGTGATTAGATAAAAGTCTGAGCCAAAACCAAAACCTGAAGCCTACGGAGCAAATGACAAGGCACATCTTCCCATACGGTCATGAAAATGCCTATAAGTGTATGCAAGGAGCTCACCAAGCAAATACACAGCCTTACGCGTATATGGGAAAATTATGCAATTTCTGCTCATACGTGTATGGGAAAGCCAACACGTGTTCTTAAATTAGTTTTATTTTTCTGAATTGAACCTTGTAGTTACTTATATTTTATCGTTATCTGATTTACTTTTGTATAATTTCAATGTTTTCTCTTTCAGTCAAATTGAGAATTGATTTACGGTTATCTGTTAGGAAGGACTTTCAAAAGTAACACTTGATTGAAGTATTTAATATTAGATATCACCTAAAACTAGGTATACCGTATAAACACCGATATATTCTTGATAATTGATTAATTTCACCTAAAATTCAATATGGACGTAGGAAATGATTTGAATGTTTAAATGTTTATTCACTTAGGTATTAGGAGTAAGCGCCCTTGAGAACTGGTAATTAGTAAGATAAAATAAGATGTTACAAGGTTAATTTAGGATTGTTAATAATTCATGTTCAAACACCCATTCCTAGTATGTGATGAGAATCCGTCATTACATATAATCAGTCAAAGAATTGGGTAAAAACGAGCGAAAGAGGAGCCAAAACAATGAAGAAGGACTCAAGAATGAGTGAAAAATAGCCAAGTATTGAAGAATGGGACTTTGTGAAAATTCTGGTGAAAAAGGATGAAAAAACACAAGACTACTAGAATAATCATGCATAGCATCATGCACCATCGTGTGCACGATAGAGAAAAAAGGTGGCATCGCGCGCACGATGCTTACCTAATACGCACGATGGTTGTTTTTTTTGGGTTTCTTCTGACGCGTTCTGACCTATTCTGACAGCTTTAAAAGGGGAATTTCTGCACTTTTACAAGGGTTACAAAATTTGGCATTGGGAGCACGATTTTACAGCATTAAAGGGTGATTTTAAGAGCATTGGAAGCCATTTGAGGCTAATCCTTCAAGGGAATTCATATGTTATTCTTCTTTATTCGATTGGTATTATAATTTTCATTAGCAATAGCTAAAGCTCCTCTAGGTTAGGTTGTGTTATGATGAACCTTATTTAATCTTGTAGGCATTATATGGCAGTTTGAATTTTTATGGATCCTTTGAATTATAATTTTATTCAGTTGTTGCTTATGCTTAACGCTTTTTATTTGAGATACTCTGTTAATATGTTGTTAGACACATAGGGATTCTTGACCCGTAGCCTATATGTTGAACCTAGGGAAACTGTTTTATTTAAGTCGGTTGAATAGGGATAGGAAACCTCGAGTAGTGGCGCATGGAATTAACTGTCTGTGCATCGCTTAACACTGCTTACACTGTCGGACTAGGGACAGAAAGCTTCGAGTAGTTGTTGGTGAGTTATTTCGTGGGGGACTGGCTATAACGGTTTTGTTAATTCACCGTAATATTATAAGGATAACATTGTTCATACAAGGCATCATATATCACCAAGAGGGGATAAAGGGATTCTAAAATACAACATGACCGCCTTAGTAACATTGTTTTCTCGTTTATTACTTTTTGCACTAAGAACTTACGAAACCCCATTTTTACTGTTTTTATTTAATATTGCAAAAATCATTGTTCTGTTTGAACATAGTCCCTATAGGTTCGAACTTTTTATTACTGCGACATTATTGGTATACTTGTCGAGAAGTCATCAAAATTTATGGCGCCGTTGCCGGAGACTGTTGATTGCAACAAGGTAACGCTTTGTGCAACGTGTATTTCTTTTTTTTTTTTAATTTTAGTTTTTATTGATTTTGTTTGTTTTCTTGTTTATCACAATGGTACTGAGGTATTTTCTATTTGTGTATGTACAGTTCAGGAACGACATTACTACCATCCGATTTAAAAAATGAAAGAACCGCACATGCCCTCAGAAAAGCAGCTAGATAAGCAATTTTGGTTGAAGGAGACCAAATTGAATTAGATCTGCCAACACTTTCTTCGGATTATGGCGAAGAGATTAACATGTCTTCTCCATAACTCTCAACTATGGGATATTACTACAAAAGGACAAAGTACAATCATGTTTCTAGAAGGTTTGTACCGCCAGACCCTGCTAGCTTTGATATTAAGAATTTTGTGCTTTCATGTCTAAGAGACAATTTGTTCGACAGGAACACAATAAGAGATCCTTGGGCTCATCTTGTACACTTCTACGAAACCGCTTCGATCAAGTCACCTTGTCATTTATGCCTCAAACTCAATTGTTTAGTAACTCATTTTCAGGTATCAATTCGTTATCTTTCGTACATGATCAACATCTATTTTGACTTTGCTTTCGCAACCGACAAAAACATGGAATTGAACTCAAATTCTAAAATAAAGAAAACTTATACTTCTCGCAATAACAAATGAATACTTTAGTAGGGATTTTTCATGAGATGGATTCTAATAACCCCATGTCCCTAAAGGTTCACTCACTCATGGTGAGACGAACAACAACAATAGATGATTTCAAGGACATTGAAAGAAAAGTAAATAATTAAAAATAAGTAAAGCATTAACAAACTAAAATAAAGATGTAGGTAGGATTATAATAAAAGATCTGGAAATTACAAAGAGTTTAGCAAAAGCTTAAGCTAAGAACTTAAAGAAAAACAACAATTTGTAAAGTAATGAAACTGATGTCTTCTCTTGATACTCAAGCTTCTATTTATAATAATCCA